ATATTCTGGGATAGAATGAACTGCAAACACAGTATTTGTTCCCAGGTCTCTTGAAGAGGATAGATTCTTATAATCATAGGTATTCATGGGGGAGCAGAGTGGCAAATGACACATGCATTAAGATGTCAATATGCATATTACATGATTGTGGTACTTACATCAAATATAATCGCATACAGTAATTGCACCATTGTGGCTTAATACAGATGCCCTTGGTCATAGGGGTTGAGTGGCTCGTGTAATCAATTCAAAGTTTATAGTAAAGGAAAATACAGAGTATCTTGAACTCCTTATTTCATTATACACATTGATATGGCTATCCAAGTGACAAACAAGTGGCTTTGGGTAACTTACAACATTCATTTGTTATATTAATAACAATATATTATTATATTAATTTTTGCTCCAAAAGATGCATTAGGGCTTATTTTCGGGTTAGGTCTCATTTTTGGGGAAATATGGTACTAAATGCACCTATCTGGCTGACAATCTTAAGTGGGGCTTATTTTTGGGGTAGGGCTTATATTACGAGCATCCTGAAAAATCAAGCTAGGGCTTATTTTCTGGTTGGGTCTTATTTTGGGGGAAATATAGTACTCCCGTGTAACACCTCTCCTGCGTGAGCTGCACTGGCTGCCGGTGGCCCTTCGGATCTGCTTCAAGGTGCTGGTACTCACCTATAAAGCCCTTCATGGCATGGGCCCGGGGTACTTGCAGGACCACCTCCTACCGGCCTCCCACTGCCCAGTGCGCTCACATAGGGCTGCCCTCCTCCGGGTGCTGTCGGCCACACAATGTCGGCTGGCGGCCCCCAGGATGAGGGCATTCTCTGTGGCCGCACCGACCCTCTGGAATGGGTTACCTACCATCCAGATGGTCCCTGACCTCCACACTTTCTGCGCTGACCTGAAGACATGGCTTTTTCAGCAAATTCCCTGATTTATTGCGAGGTTTTAATTGTCTGGGGATTTTAAATTGGCTTGTTTTAGTATTTTTATTGTTATGTTGTTTTATTCTGTGAGCCGCCCCGAGTCCTACGGGAGAAGGGTGGCATATAAATATGATAATAAAATAAATAAATAAATAAATGCATCCATCTGGCTGACAATCTTAACTCGGGCTTATTTTGGAAGTAGGGCTTATATTACGAGCATCCTGAAAAATCATGGTAGGGCTTATTTTTAGGTTAGGTCTTATTTTGGGGGAAATACGGTACTAAATGCACCCAGCTGGCTGACAATCTTAGATGGGGCTTATTTTTGGGGTAGGGCTTATATTACGAGCATCCTGAAAAATCATTCTAGGACTTATTTTCTGGTTGGGTCTTATTTTCAGGGAAACAGGGTAACTCGGGGGGGGGGAATCAATCACAATCCTCCTCTCTAAAAACCAGTCAACCCTGCATCTATTTCACACAATTAACAATTCCCCCCACTCCACGAAAAAGTCCCTGTAGTATTTCAAGTTTTCATCCAAAATCAATGTACTTTGTTTCTTTATTCCACCCCTCCCTTTTTCACCTTGTGTGCTTTGGTTGCAGAGAAAGAGGATTTCCAATTATTCAGGCAATGTTATGATTTATGATTTATCACTTTGTTGCTTGTATATATACGGAGAGCTTATTGCACCAGAGACAAATTCCTTGTGTGTCCAATTACACTTGGCCAATAAAGAATATTCTATTCTATTCTAAACTTGTTTAATTGAGCTCGAACTAGAAAACCCATCAGCGTTGTTTTCCCACCGGTTCTCACTGTAAACAAAGCATTTCCCAAGAAAGAATGGCAGAGAAATACACCCGGGTGGAAAATCCTATGATCTGTAACTTCTCCAGCTTCCCAGGTCAACAGTGGGTCGTGAGCTGTTGTAGTCATTAAGTGGGAGGTTAATGTCAGGGGTGTAAATTCAAAACCAGAAGATTGATTGCTCACACCTATTCACAAGAATCTAGTCAATTAAGGCTGAGCGTTAAATTGGCTCTAGATAAGGGTTAATGGAATTCAAGAGAGGACCATTTGTGATCACGTAACAACTCTAGGCTGAGTCCTCTCTTGACTCCACCCCCAGCTTCTGCCTCTTCTCCCGCTGTTCCTTTCTGAGCTTTTTTCTCTGTTCGTTATGTAGTTGTGGGCTCCTCCACCCCTTATCTGATTATTCCCTAAGCAGCATCTCTTCCCCTGTCTCACAAAGAATTCAAGAGGGATTGGATTTAAGACCATTTCTGACTATGTAACAACTCTAGGCTGAGTCCTCTCTTGACTCCACCCCAGGGGTGAAATCTACTTACTTTCCCTACTGGTTTGGAAGTGCACGTGCCGTGTGCGTGCCGCGTGTGCCATCTTCATGTCCGATTTTGGACCCTCTGCGCATGCGCAAAGCCTGTGGATGCACAGAGGGTCAAAAGCAGGCTACTTCCTGGTTAAAACCAGGAAGTAATGACATCCGGATGGGTGGGTGGAGCCTCGTGCTACTGCCGCTACCAGTTCACCAAAAAATGTGCTGCCGCCGCTACCAATTCGCCTGAACCGGAGCGAACCGGTAGCATTTCACCCTTGCTCCACCCCCAGATGCTGCCTCTTCTCCCACTGATCTTTCTGAGCTTCTTTCTCTGTTTGTTATGTAGTTGCGGACTCTTCCGCTCCTTATCCGATCATTCCCTAAACATTCCCTTATCTGATCATTCTCTTTCCCTGTCTTGCAAAGAATTCAAGACTTAGACCATTTGTGATCACGTAACAACTCTAGGTTGAGTCCTCTCTTGACTCCACAGGGAAAGCATCTCTTTCCCTGTCTCGCGAAGATCATTCCTACATACCAGATGTCAAGAAGCTTTGGACATAGTCCTACGTAGAGAAAGCAACATTTTCAAAAGATTTGCACAGCCCAAAGCAATCGTAGTTCGTGCAAAACAGCAAAATTCTCAATTTTTCAGTCTTGCCTCGAAGCGGAGCACGCTGTGGAACTCTGTGGGAAGAAAGTTCTTTTACATGCCTATGGCCGAAATCGCATCCTCCACATATATTACGTCTTGCAGAAAGATCTACCACTGCTTAGCTACTCCAGGGTACTTTCCACGGATGATCTCTTGTGACCCCCTTCTAAGGAAAGTTCGGCAAATTACTTGGAGAGGTAGCCTTTCATCCTCACTCCATCCCTGAGCCTGCCACTGGAACATGCTTTCAATAATTAGCTCCATCTCACAAAAACTCCAAGTTACAGCAAAACTGGCAGTTTATGGCTCAGAGAGCTATAAATCATTTTCAAAATCATGATGATATTACCGAAACCAGATGTGCAAACATATGTTTACCATGCCTGTGTAAATTGCTGACTTGCCAATGCCATACTTAATAAACGCCGATACTCTTGTGTTAACTACATATCCCCTCAATAATGAATTCCTAAATCCTTGATGATGATAGCATCATCTTCATCATCAATATTGGCCTTGATAAAGATAAAAGATGTAGAGCCTATTTTTTTCCTTCATGGTTTGATGACTTCACGCCGCCTTTGAAACAAAGCAACAGAGGGGCTAAAATGCATGTAATGAATCAATAAAATGCAAGCAATTGAATTGAAATTCAAAAATGCAAGAGGCAAGCTATAATTAATGCAAATACATTAATACGGTTAGTTCATTACGTTCACGTGAAACGCAATACATTGCAAGTGTAAAATACAATTAATGCAAACACGAAGAAGTTCAACAACTTACTGAAGCTGCAACCCCAATGTGATCACTCTTCAGTATTTCTGAACTGACAGATGATTGGAGAAGATGGCATGTGAATTTATTTTTGCCAGAACGATTAGCGTTATTCTGTAGACTTAATCTGAATCAGCAAAACTGGATGTTACAGAAAGTCTGAGATATATTCAAGAGTGCAACTGTCTGCCAACTCCCGGAGTTATAATCAAGTATGCGTGACTTAAACCATCCTTAGGATGTATAAAAACAGTGGGGTGGGGTTTTTTTTAAACCCATTCATACTATAGACCTACAAAACAATTTACTATAATTTTTTTTAAAAAATCAGGTTCAGTGGGGCTTCCTCACCGAATCCATAGAAGTCAAGGATCTTCAGCAAAACCACGATTAAATTCTGATACTGGGATCCAACCAACCAATAAGTTCATGGCCACAATTATTTGGGATTCAGGTGGCCTCTAAGATTAATAAATAAATAAATAAACACACAAACAAACAGTGAAGAAAACTGAGTAAAAGAACCAAGTTTCTTAGCACTAGAGGTGGGTTTCAGCAGGTTCTGACCGGTTCTAGCGAACCGGTAGCGGAATTTTTGAGTAGTTCGGAGAACCGGCAAATACCACCTCTGACTGGCCCCGCCCCCATCTATTCTCTGTCTCCCGGGTCCCAGCAGATCGAATCCCAGCTGATTGGCTGGGTCTTCTTTTGTTGCCCTGTACATGGAGCTGGAAAACAGGTTAGTGGGGTGAGGAGGGAATGGAGATTTTATAGTATCCTTCCCTCTGGAATGGGGTGGAAATGGAGATTTTACAGTATCCTTCCCCCTGGAGTGGGGTGGAAATGGAGATTTTACAGTATCCTTCCCCCTGGAGTGGGGTGGAAATGGAGATTTTGTAGTATCCTTCCCCTGCCATGCCCACCAAGCCACGCCCACAGAACCAGTAGTGAAATTTTTGGAATCCCACCACTGCTGAGCACATAGTGAGTAACAAGCAGGACTTCACCGATCCAATAAAATTCTACCGGATATGGGACCACGTAGCGGGGACTTTGAGAGAGTGAGATTATCCTTTTGTAGAAGAGGAGTGGGTGTCCTGCTGTTCCACCCCAACCCCCCCCCCCCAGTTACATGGCAAAATACTGGAGGTAAATGCAAATATCTAACAATCCAAAGCATTTTCCAAATGAATCAGAAAACAGGCCTTCTGATTTCAACATACAGATACAGAGCAGCAAAAAAAGCCTAAAAATCATTTTGACATGAGAAAAATTAAAAAAATGGTGTTACCTTTCTCCTTTGAGAGTTTTTTGGGGTTGGGTCCAGATTCTTGATCTATTGCTTCTCCTTCTCTAATATTTGATAACAGACCTAAAAGAAAATTGAAGGTGTGCAGGAAGGGAGAGAAATAAAGATCAAATTAGTTACCGTGTTTGTTTGTTTGTTTGTTTGTTTGTTTGTTTGTTTATTCATTCATTCATTCATTCATTCATTCATTCATTCATTCATTCATTCATTCATTCATTTATTTATTATTCAAACTTCTATACTGCCCTTCTCCTTTCGGACTCAGGGCGGTGAACAGCCAAAATAAAAACATTTATACATAACATTACAATTAAAAATAGATTTAAAATAATTAAATAGATTTGGCCTGTAATTTAAAACTTGTCAATTTAAAATCCGTATCAAAATTTTAAAACCAACCCTAAAATCAAGACAGACCGGCTAACTGAAAAAAGTAAGTTTTTAGGGCCCGACGAAAAGTCCGGAGGTCAGAGATCACTCGTATCTCTGGGGGCAGTTTGTTCCAAAGAACAATTATTGGGATGGGTCGTGTTTCTCTGAAAACACGACCCATCCCAATAATAAGCCCAACCCTAATTTTTTTTGGGTGGGCTTAATATTACCTCTACCCCGAAAATAAGCCTGGGGGAGATGGGCGTGGCCAGCATGAGTGGCGACGCGGGCATGGAGGGGGGGGAACTGTCTGGCTGCAGTTGCAGCCCGCTGGCCCCTAAGGGCAGCGCAAATACCGCTTTTGTCCTTCTCTTTCTGGGCACAGCGCTTCTGCTTGTTGGGCCGCTTCCCCGAAGCCGGCAGCTCTACGGCCAGCTGTTTTGCTTTTCCCCTCTTTTTGGGAAGCTCAAGGGAGGCTTTTTGGTGAACGGGAGGAAAATGGCCATCCTTCCCTCAGTCTGTGCTGAGCTTGAGGAATGGATGACAGGCAGGAAAATCCTCTCCCCATTTTCCTAACCCCCTCCCCATTTTCCTAATCATATTTTCCTAATCATAGCTTGATTAGCTTGTGCTAATCAAGCTATGCTGAAAACGAAACTGAAAGTAAAGCAGGCTGTTTGCTGTTTGCTGCAACAAGGCAAAATTGCTGGGAGGCAGAGGCAGATTTCTTTTTCTTCTTTTCCTCACCAAAAAAGGTAGGTGCGTCTTATAGTCCGGTGCATTTTATACTCCAAAAAATACAGTAGGTTTGTTTCATTTCTCTTCCTTTCCCCTTCCTTGTCTATAACAATTTTCAGATATACGTTCACTGCCCACAGTAATTCCTGCCTCTCGTTTTCCACAGGGCTGTTCCTAAATTCAAAACGGTCAAACAGGGAAACGGTACAAACCAATTCTATCTGGTGTGTTGTCAATTTGGGATGGAGAACTTGAAACACTGCTGCTTTGGTGTGAAGAGGCATGACTCCCGGGTCGCTGGCCCTCTTCTACAGATGGAGCAGGCGAAGGGCTGTCTTGGATCCTTTCCTTTAAAGAAAGAAAGAAAGATTGGTTCAAGCACTTAATTGCATTTCTTTCGGGATTCCATTCGAAGGTTGATCCAAAGGAATCTCTATATTGACTTTCCAAACGAAACTGAAAAATGGAATGGAATCAGAAGCCTTCATATCAGTTTATATAATAATAATAGAATAATACAGTTGGAAGGGACCTTGGAGGTCTTCTAGTCCAACCCCCTGCTCAAGCAGGAGACCCTATACCAGTGATGGCAAACCTTTTACACAGTGAGTGCCCAAACTGCCCACGCAAGCATGCCCAAACGGAAAGGTCCATGTGCGTGTGTGCGCAAACACATGCTCCTCATTGCTAAGAGACAGAAACTCATCTGGAGGACACCTAAGCAAAAGTGAATGTCAGGGCTCCAAGTAACACATCCACAACAAGAACTCCGAGGCAGGCATTTTCCTCAAAGAACAATTTATCGGGATATATCATATTGGCACAAACCTGGTGAAAACCAGCTCTAAAGTTCCCGCTGATTTTCACCTAACTAAAAAAAGCTTGTCCCTTCCCCAGAGTCATTGGTCACAGGGCCCAATCAGCACACAGTCCAGTTGTTACAATGATCCCAGCCTCCTCCTTCCTCACACCTGCATGGATGTCCTTGGTTCCTAGGGGAAAGAATTTTATTTTGGCTACAGCACCCCAACTATCTCTACTTCCCACCTCCCTTCCCCTTGTTCTATCCCCGTCCCCACACACACACAAACAGCCAGCCGGGGGTTAAAGAATTACTTGGCACACACAAGGTTCGTTATCAGGAACTTGGCAGCAATACGATAACCGTCTGCCAAGTGCTTTACTTCAAGAAGAGGGAGTTTTCCTCCACCAGATAAACACCAACAAATACACACAGTTTTCAAAAACAGTCCAGCTCAAACAGAAACCTTCAGCAGATTCAGGCGTTGTACAAAGTGACTAGCCAGAAGTTAGCTTTGTCCGTCACAGAGTCTAAATGGCCACCACACTCTCTTATATAGCCTGTGGGGTGTGGTCCAATGACTCAGCTTAATCCCTGGCACGCCTTCTCATCTGCTGCAAATGTTTATCTCGCCTTCGTTGGCGTGGATCCAGGAACGACGTATCACCATCATCGCTGTCATCGGAGACACCTGGCTCCTGGCCAATCTCCTCTCCCTCGGCAGACACCTGAGGCATAGCCAGAGAGGAGGGGCCTGGAGAGGGAAGCCTGGCCGGCTCCTCTCCTTCATGTTCGGAGCCTTCTCCCTCAGATAAAATGGGCTCGGGGGTCGGAGCCACAACACCCCTCAGCTCCCGTCTGTGTCAGCACTGAAGCAGCAAGATAGAAAATGAAAACAGCCTCAATCAGGCCAACTTCAGAGTTGAAAGTGAAGAGAAAGTGACTTGAAGTTCTCTTTCTACAACTCTGCCAAAAAATTTGTTCCAAATTTGCTATGGTTCACCTTTTAGTGCATCAAAGAAGACTTGGCTTTGACCTCTAATTTCATCCAGAGCCTTCTCTGGGTTCTGCTTTTAAGGCTACCTTGGAGTTCTGTACTTCAGAGCAAGCTTTTTCTAGGCCTCGTATTTCAAGCAAAACCTTTTGAAGGTTGTGCAGAGAGTTTTATGACAAAGGGCCTTTATCAAGAGTCCGTTGTGTGGTCTGTTCTAAATGAATTGTTCAGAAAACATTGCCTCAAATGTGTTTTTAATAGGATAGTTATTGGACATTCAATAGTGGGTGAACCTCAAAATCACAGATGCGTATCTATTATGCAGTGGATAATCCTCGACGGAGCTGCTTTCTTAACTAATTATCTCTTAGTTAATGAACATACAATAACTAATAAAACTTAAAAGGGAAGCCTTTAATTGCTCTACTGTTAGCCTACTAATTAAAAATATTTGTTAAGCTTAAGCAGATAGCAATTCTATTCTTGGCCTTTCAGGTTTGGTACATCTTGAGGGAGTTTTTGATTTAAAACAGTTGGAAACAAAACCCCTGTCATTTTTCAGGACATGGGTAGGGTATTGCTGGAGACCTGAGAATTGTGTTGGGGAAAGTAAGAAAAGGAAAGAAAGAAAGAAAGAAAGAAAGAAAGAAAGAAAGAAAGAAAGAAAGAAAAAAGGAAGGAAGGAAGGAAGGAAGGAAGGAAGGAAGGAAGGAAGGAAGGAAGGAAGGAAGGAAGGAAGGAAGGAAGGAAGGAAGGTCAAATAAAAGGTATTACTGTTAAGAAAATGATCCCTGGATTAGTAGACTTGAAGACAACAGTGAAGGAAAGCTGCTTCTTTGCCTCTATTATCTGAAAGCTCAAGAGAGCTATTTTGTGCAGGGTATCATATATATATATATGTAAAAAAATGCAAATAGAAAATAGGGACCACTTTTGGTGGGAAGGTAACAGCGTTCCATGCGCCTTTGGCGTTGAGTCATGTCAGCCACAAGACCATGGAGACGTCTTCGGACAGCGCTGGCTCTTCGGCTTTGAAACGGAGATAAGCACTGCCCCCTAGAGTGTGTGTGTGTGTGTGTGTGTGTGTGTGTGTGTGTACACACACACACACACACACATATATGTATTTCTCTTTAAAGAAACTTGTTTTCTTTAAAGAAAACAAATATATATATATATATGGTCTTATTTTGGGGGCAACATGATATTACATTTCAATCATTACTACATGCTCTAATGATACTCTTGAATTAAACATAAGCTCAAGGACTTGATAGTGAAATCATGTAGGTAGCTACCTGTATAACAAGCATCTTGGTTTTTTTTTACTGAGTGTGCGTTATCATACTAAGCCATTATAGCACTTAGCACTTAGATTTATATACCGCTTCACAATGCTTTACAGCTCTCTCTAAGCGGTTTATAGAGTCAGCCTCTTGCCCCCAACAATCTGGGTCCTCATTTTACCCACCTCGGAAGGATGGAAGGCTGAGTCAACCTTGAGCCGGTGAGAGTCAAACTGCCAAACTGCTGGCAGCCGGCAGTCAGCAGAAGTCGCCTACAATACTGCATTCTAACCACTGCGCCACCACGGTTCCTTACACAAGCTGCTTTTCTGGTGGTGTGGGGGTGTGAACCCAGCATTTCAGTTTGTAAGCAGTATTTATGGCTTAGTCCAATATGCAATACCTGTCAACAGTGGTTTATTCAACAAATCTTGAAATTATGGTTCAGCCCTGTGTGGGTAATGTCATTCAGATGTTGCCAGCTATGGCAAGATAATCCTGGGTACCCAATAAACTCCTCTCCAGCATGGAAGACAGTTGTGGCCATCTTTTGCTATAATATATGCTAGTGGCCTCTTCTCTGCACATAAACAGATCCATTTTTCAGCGGTGTAATCAGTCTGCTTCTATTAAGCTACTTAACAGCAATGAGTTGTGGTTCATTAGGTAGCTACTGTTGTGTCTCCGTCTAGTTAAAATTTCACAGCGAGTTAATCTATTTTATTACAAATGAGAACACATGCAATCATGTTCCTGGCATTTTCCAAACACAGGGTTAACAGTATTTGTAACAAATCAATGAGGACATTGCAATTGGAAAATGGCAGACCTGATAGGCTAAGCATCTTTACCCGTTGATGACTTCATTTTTTGTCATTTGTGGATTTTACAGCTCCTTGTTGTTCTTTGCATGTAGTCTAGTTCTGTTCCAAAATTAGCTGTTGTTCAGCTAACTCCAGAAATATGAACTCACTTTCTGGGTAGCTGATAGTCATACACCTGTGTGCACAACAGATATTAACATCCAAATATGTTAAAGGTAGGATTTTCAACTCGGATTAAGCCAGTTTTGCAAAGGTTGTATTGTTACTGGGGCAGGGGCAAAATATTTATGTGATCTGAACAAAAACCACAATATAGATTTTCATTGCTCTTGAACAGTGTTTAAAATGCCAGGTTTCCAAGCCCAGTTGTGTCTGCCTTTAGGGCACGATGCCCATCCCTGTTTCTTGGCCAAGGGAGCCAGTGGTGTCTGAAGACATTTTTCATGGTCATGTGGCCAATATGGCTATACGACAAGGCATGTGGAATCTTGTTACCTTCCCACCAAAGTGGTACATCTTTATCTACTCACATTTGCTTCCTTTTGAACTGCTAGGTGGGAAGGAGCTGGAGCAAGGAACGGGAGCTTATCCCCTCGTGCGGCACTCAGGTCTCGAACCCAGGCTGTCAGCTTTCCAGTTGACAAGCTCAGCATGATTAACCATTGAGCCATCGCACCCCTCTTTATTGAATTTATGCTCTGCCCTATTCAGTAGACTCTCGGTGGCTTAGAGCAGGGTTCCCCAACCCCGGGGACAGGCAGCGGGCCGCGGCATGCCAGAAACCAGTCCGTGTAAACAAGGAAAGCCCCATCCACGGGATGCAGGCAGCATGAAAAAGCATGCCCTCTCTGGTCCACAGAAAAAAATTCTTTCCATGGAATCGGGCCCTGGTGCTGAAAAGATTGGGGGGCGCTGACTTAGAGTGAATATAACAAAATTATAACTCAAAAAATGATGTAGAATATCAACATAAACTTCCATTCAGTATAGATAAACAGTCAGGGATTTAAAAATGTGTAGCCCAAAAAGATCTAAAGATCTGTGCATTATTAAGCAAACTTTATGGAAAGCAGTTTTAATGCATATCAAAAAAAACAGTAGCACCTTGGACAGCTCCCCAGAATCTTCCAAAGATTCCAAACTTCATGAGCTCTTTTTTTGCCTGAAAAATGGAGGTTTTTTTGTGGGCATTTCTTCCAGTTTGATTCATATACTATGAAAACTCTTGTCCCAAAGGTGGTTTTTCAAGAGGCAGCTGGACTTTCTGGTTTTTTTTTCCCCTAGAAGACATTTCGCTTCTCATCCAAGAAGCTTCTTCAGCTCTGACTGGATGGTGGGGAATGGAAGGATTTATACTCCTTGCAGACAGCTGGTCCTTTGAATCCTTTTAGCGGGCCGTTAAGGTCACCTGGAGATTTATCTGTGTCACTGTGGTCACCTGA